AAGTCCAAAGGATAACTTCTCATTACCAAATATACACATTTTGATTGATAATTGTGCCAAGCACGAGATTGGGTCTTTTGTGGACTGCTATGCGGGGTATCATCAGATTCTAATGGATGAGAAAGATACGGAAAAGACGGCATTCATCACGCCATGGAGAACATATTGCTACCAGGTCATGCCTTTTGGTTTGAAAAATGTCGGGGCAACTTATATGAGGGCAATGACAACCATATTCCATGACATGATACACAATGAGATTGAGGTTTACATGGACGATGTGATCATAAAGTCCAAGAAGCAGTCTGACCACGTCAGAGATTTGAGAAAGTTTTTCCAGAGGCTCCTCAGGTACAATATTAAGCTCAATCCTGCGAAGTGCGTATTTTGTGTTCCACCGGGGAAACTGTTGAGGTTCACAGTCAGTCGTCGAGGCATTGAATTGGATCCGTCAAAGATCAAAGCTATCCAAGAGTTACCACCGCCAAAGAATAAGACCGAGGTGATGAGTCTGCTAGGGAGGCTGAACTACATCAGCAGGTTCATTGCTCAGCTCACGACAACTTGCAAGCCCGTCTTTAAGTTGCTAAAGAAGGATGTTGCGGTCAAATGGACCGATGAGTGTTAGGAAGCATTTGATAAGATAAAGGGGTACATGTCAAACCCACTAGTGTTGGTCCCACTAAAACCAGGAAGACCTTTGATTCTGTATTTGACGGTTTTGGATAACTCGTTTGGCTGTGTGTTGGGTCAACATGACATCACTGGCCGGAAAGAGCAAGCCATCTACTATCTCAGTAAGAAATTCACATCTTATGAGGTTAAGTATACTCCCCTTGAGAGGACATGTTGTGCCTAACTTGGGTAGCACAGAAGCTGAAGCATTATTTGTCATCCTATACTACTTACCTCATTTCTCTCCTGGATCCTCTAAAGTATATCTTTCAGAAACCCATGCCCACAGGAAGGCTCGCAAAGTGGCAAATCTTGCTCACAGAGTTTGACATCGTATATGTGACTCAAACGGCGATAAAAGCTCAAGCTATGGCCGAGAACTTGGTGGACGAAGAATATGAAACTTTGAAGAGTTATTTTCCTGATGAAGAGGTAATGCACATTGATGAAGTCGAGAAAGATGAAAAGCCCGGGTGGAAATTTTTATTTGATGGGGCTGCTAACATGAAAAGCGTTGGGATATGAGCTGTACTCATTTCTGAAACAAGGCATCACTACCATGTCACTGCTCAGCTTCATTTCTATTGCACCAACAATATGGTCGAGTATGAAGCATGAATTTTGGGTTTAAGGCTAGCTGTAGATATGGGAATCCAGGAAGTCTTGGTCTTAGGAGACTTGGACATTCTGGTGCACCAGATTCAAGGAGAATGAGAGACGCAGGATTTAAAGCTTATACCGTATCGACAATGTCTGCATGATCTTTGTAAGCGGTTTCGATCAAGAGAATTCAGGCACATTCCAAGGATCCATAATGAGGTTGTCGATGCCTTGGCTACCTTGGCGTCAATGTTGCACCATCCGGACAAAGCTTATGTTGATCCTCTGCATATTAAAGTTCGTGATCAACATGCTTACTGTAATGTGATTGAAGAACAACTTGATGGTAAACCATGGTTTCATGACATCAGGGAGTATATCAGAATGAGGGTATATCCAGTACAAGCCACATGTGACCAAAAGAGAACAATTCATCATTTAGCAAGTGGATTTTTCTTCAGTGGAGGAGTTTTGTACAAAAGGACTCCAGATCTTGGATTGTTAAGATGCATAGATGCTAGACAGGCCACGACTATCATGACCGAAGTGCATTCCGGAGTCTGCGAACCGCATATGAGTGAGTATGTTCTGGTAAAGAAAATTCTTCAAGCAGGTTATTATTGTCTCACCATGGAGAGAGATTGTATAAGTTTTATGCGCAAGTGTCATCAATGTCAAGTACACGGAGATTTGATTCATTCTCCGTTATCTGAATTGCACACAATATTTGCACCATGACCCTTTTTTGCTTAGGGTATGGATGTTATCGGAGCAATTGAGCCAGCAGCATCCAATGGACACGGGTTCATTCTGATGGCCATTGACTATTTCACTAAGTGGGTTGAAGCTAAAACTTTCAAATCTGTGACCAAGAAGGTAGTGGTCGATTTTGTTCATTCAAATATCATTTGTCGGTTCGGAATCCCAAAGGTGATTATCACAGATAATGGTGCTAATCTTAATAGTCATATGATGAAGGAAGTGTGTCAATAGTTTAAGATTACACATCGCAATTCCATCCCATACCGCCCCAAGGCGAACGGAGCAGTTGAGGTAGCCAATAAAAACATAAAGAAGATACTTCGGAAAATGGTGCAAGGTTCCAGGCAATGGCATGAGAAGTTGTCCTTTGCATTATTGGGCTATCGCACTATTGTGCTCACTTCAGTAGGTGCAACTCCTTATTTGTTGGTATACGGCACAAAAGCGGTGATACCCGTGGAAGTTGAAATTCAATCCCTTTGGGTTGTCGCTGAAGCCGAAATTGATGATGATGAGTGGTTCAAAACCCGTCTGGAGCAATTGAGTTTGATTGATGAAAAAAGATTGTGTCATGGCCAGTTGTATCAAAAGAGAATGGCAAGAGCATACAACAAGAAAGTGCGTCCGCGGAAATTTGAAATCGTTCAGCAAGTATTGAAACCCATCCTTCCACATCAGGCTGAAGCGAAAGTCAAGTTCGCCCCAAATTGGCAGGGGCCATTCATCATAACGAGAGTGTTGTCCAATGGTACTTCATATTTGACAGATATAGAAGGCAAATGTGTAGATATGGCTATCAATTCTGATGCGGTCAAAAGATATTATGTATGATTTCTTTGGTTTAAATTGTGTTGTTTGTACTTGGCATGTTTTGAATATTGGAATGACGAAGGCATTTTGTTCTATTATCTAAATACTTTATCCTTTGTTACCCATTGGAGCATTATTTATTTCCTTTCATACCCCTCTTTTGGAATCAGTAGAAAAGTTCGAAAATACGAGCGCAAAAAGTGAGTAGAAAAAAAGAAAAGAAAAGAGAAAAGAGAAAGAAAAGAATGGAAAAGAGTGAGAAAAGGAGAAAAGAAAAAAAATAAAAGAAAAAGAAGAAAAGCAAAGAAAAGGAAAAGATAGAAAGAAAAAGAAAAGAGAAAAATCACAACAACAAAGTAATTCTTATGACATGAACTACATTCGACCTGATTCCTTCAAAGGATACGTAGGCAGCCTCATGGTTCGGTCCTATCAAAATAAAAATTCAAAAGTCCCCAAGCAAAGAAACTAGATCAGAAAGTTGCGGTTGTTGTAAGAAATATGATTCCAAAAGTTGTAATTTTAAACCCTTTCAAATTGTTTTGAGCCTTTTGATATTCTTTCTTTCTAACCCTATCCAAAAGCCCACATTACGGTCCAAAGAAAGACCTTCTGATTAGTCTTCGAGAGAGGCCAAGTTGAGTAAGTAGAGGCAATTCGTGTCAGGGGCAACACTCCATTCTGAGCAGGGAAATGAAAAATGAGAGAGTCTTATTAGTGAAAACCCTCACGGGCACTGTAAGGCGATGGAAAGTTGACAGAAATAAAAAATGAGAGAGTCTTATTGGTGAAAACCCTCATGGGCATCCTAAGGCGACAGTGAGTTGAGAGATAAATAAATGAGAGAGGTTTGTTGGTGAAAACACTTCAGGGCACTGCAAGTCAAATAAGGTTGTTGACTTGGCAAGAGAGTTAGATTATGCGAACCCCGGGCATAAAGGTGTGAAGATTGAAAGAAGATTGTTTGAATAGGCTGGGCTGATTAATCCGAAATGCATGTCATGATCATTGGTACCGGTCGTTCCACTCAGATGAGTCTCTTTTCCTTTTCCCCTCTCAAACAGTCATCCAATTCTGGATTTTCTTTTATTCCTAACTCTCAAAGTCATCGCATTTCATTTCTTTTGGGTTTATTTCTCTAAGGTTTTTTCAATGTCAGCCTTGTATAAGCAAGTAAGAAAGGATTTCAAAGATTACTACCAACTTCCAAATTGCACAAAGCAAAGTGCGGCCAAAGCATACCTGAAATAGCATGATGCAAAAGTGAAAATAAGGTGTTAATGAAAGTTCAAACGGTCAAGGGGTTTATGATTTTTTTGGAAGATATAGAGGTTCAAATTGGAGGGACAAAAATGTAAAACGACGGGTTGAGTGTAGAACACTCGGGTCATTCAGGGTCCTGCGTTTGAGATTCAGTCAGAAAGGTAAACAATTTTTGGCCAGTTCAAGGCAGACAGTCAAAGCAAAGCACGGCAGCGAGAGGGCCACCTTCAGCAAGAATCCCGCAAACTAACCACCACATTTTTTAAACTGACAAGATTTTTCTTTGATTGAAACAGGGGCAGAAAATTTTGTTTGTTTCGGAGAAACCCTTCGTAAGGAAAGCAAGTACTAAATAGGTTTGACCGTAAGTTCTCAAGACTGTCCTAGACTAGGGGTGGGCATTCGGTACTTCGGTTTGGTATTAAGAATTTCGGTTCGGTATTTCGGTATTCGATTTATCAATTGTATATACCAAATACCGTACCAAAGTAATTCGGTACAGTTCGGTAAATCTTAGTTTAGTTCGGTACTGTTTCGGTATGGTTTCGGTTTGATACATATAAATTTGTCACGTACTGCTAACTGCTATGTTCTAAGAGCCTTAGCAAGTTAAAATAAAATCGAAGTGCATTCCTAATTAAGGAAAATCTTTCCGTTCATTTCTCGTAAGTAATGTTGCTATTATACACTTGAGACATTGTGAAAGGAATCGAAGGACCTACTGGCTAAAACCAGTAAAAGAAAAGATAATGACTAATTGTAATTGTAATAAGAATATGCAAGGAAAGATTCTGACTAAAAGGAAAATCTTTCCGGAATGAATCAAATGTAAAGGCATCAACATTCAGCACCAATAAACCAAACATGGACTACAAAATCATACTGAACTATGAGCAGCAACCCAGCAGTAGAAATTTTAATTCAAACTTACACTTTACGCAGATGAATCATGCTACCACTAATGAGTAGCAGCAGCATTAAACACAATGCAACAAAAACACATAGACAAACCTGCCAAACAGAATTCAAGTTTACACTTTAAGTAATAATAACTAAAGTGTCACAAGCTCACAAGTCACAGCAACAACATTATGCAAAGTTTGCAAAACAACTGGCTACTGCCATTCTGCAGAACATAAAGTTGTAAGTTTAACTAATAAGCAGGCAAGTAGCAACAAAATCAACTTAGTCTTGAATACGGATTTCTGGAAGTGTTCCCAAACATGAGAGCGTACTTTAGGAGCACGGGGCATGATTGAACTTGAACCTAAAAAAGAAGATAAAATCACAAGTTAGAATATATTTTTTTTGATGATAAAAGAACAAAACTACAAAAGTATATCACCAAACAAATAGAGTAGTCAACTCACCACTCAAGTTGCAACTATACATCAAAGTGATCAAATAATGGTAGTAGTGCTTCCATTATTTTCCATATCTAAAGATAATTCGACCAAATACGTCATATAAATAAACAAGTGTAATATATTATTTTGAACTAAAATACACAAAAAAAATTAAAGCTTACCAAGCTCAAGTTCCTCAAGATACTTCAAGTCTTCTTCAACACTAATAGGATTCTTCTCTTCTCTAAACCAATCTTGAACACAAATAAGAGTTTGCACCCATTTAGGAGTCAATGAACTCCTAAATGAATCAAGAATACGACCATCGGTGCTAAACACACATTCCGACGCTACACTAGAAATTGGAATGGCCAACACATCACGAGCCAACTCTGAAAGAATAGGAAATCTAGGAGCATGTGTTATCTATACAAAATTAAAACAAATACAAACAGTCAAACACAAATTGAGACTAGAGTTGGGTTTAGATCTTTTTACAAACAGTCAAACACAAATTAAAACAAATACAGACAGTCAAACAATCACACAAATAATCTGCTATAATCGCTCTCCCTCTTATTAATCCTAATAAATTATTTACTTTTCTCTAATTTGTAAATTTAAAGTATTTTGGAAGCATCAAGATTCGAGTGTGTGTCACAGATTTTAATTTCTTTAGTGCTAATGTAACCCCAAAAATGATAACGCTATTCTCGTGAATATATGCACCTCCATCTTTTTAGTTATTATATCAATTAATGTTTCCTTCATTTTTCTAAAAGAAATCACAGGACTTACATGTTGTAAATCATGAGGTATAACCATTTCAGATACACACTTGTTTATCACATAGCTTAGCTTTTAGGCTTATCTAAAAGGATCAACACAAGAAAATAAACTATTGGTTACAAAATACAAAGTTATAAACTGAAGATTGAAGAATGAAAAAGTTGTAAACCTGTTGAAGAGTTGAAGATTGAATAATGAAGGTAAAAAAATGAGGAAACAAGAAGTCACGCTTGAGAGACGTCGGCATCGAGGTTGTGAAGTCGTTTTGCAGTCACAGTACTCGCAGTCGCACACTCGCACTCGTAGCCACAAGGTCACACAGCCGATCTGTTCTCTCACTTAATTGAGAGAAACCTAATTTTAAATCTAGTCCTTAGAAACAAGGGAAAGAGATGGACTTGGGCAATTGGGCTTAGTCTTGAGTTACTGGGCTAGAAGTAAACTTAAAATTTTGAGCTGGAAGCACATATATAAATTTGGTATTTCGGTATACCGAATTATCAATGTCTTAATACCGAGAACCATACTGTTATACCAAAATACCAAAAATTTAGTACCGAATTATACCGAAATACCGAAAAAACGAAATCGAAATACCAAATTAATTCGGTCCAGTTCGGAATTCGGTTTTTTGGATTTTATGCTCACCCTTATCCTGGACAATGGGACTTAGTTAAAATCCAAAACATTCATGAGTAAAAAGACCTAGCATAAGCTCTACTTTGAGAAAATATAAGTTGGTTTTGAAGTTTTCATTCTTAGTACAAGACTCAACTGGAAATTTTCAGGATTCTCCTGGATAATGGGATTTAGTTTTAAGACCTTCATAGATAACAAGATTTAGCAGAAGTCATACCTTCAGGAAATATAATTTAGCTTTAAAATTGTCATTAGTTAGGAGTTTCAGGACATTCCTGGATAATGGGATCTAGCTTTTAAAATTCTTTGAGGTTTTCTGGTAACATGATTCAATTAACACTCATAGATGTGCCTAGCTACCAAATTGGGGCAGAAAATTTCATTTGTTTTGTCGATTTTGTTGAAATCTGGCACCCACCTGGAGAACAAGAGAAGACAACACGAGTTTTAAGAATGGAGGACGACTCAGGTTCAAACAATCAGCAACCCACCTGGAGAAACAAGGGAAGACAGTTCAAAGGAAAAGCAGTCGCAAGAGGGAGTAGTTCAAGTTTGGCAATCAGTAGCCCACCTGGAGAACAAAGGGAAAACAAATCAAGTTCCAAGGAAAAGCAAATTAAAGTTTTGGCAATCAGGCGCCCACCTGGAGAGTAAGGGAATACGGTTAAAGTGTTGGTAATCAGGAGCCCACCTGAAGAACAAAGGAAAAAGCAATTCAAGTATTGGTAATCAGGAGCCCACCTGAAGAACAAAGGGAAACGCAATTCAAGTGTTGGTAATCAGGAGCCCACCTGGAGAACAAAGAGAAAACAATTCAAGTGTTGGTAATCAGGAGCCCACCTGGAAAATAAAGGGAAAAAGAATTCAAGCGTTGGTAATCAAGAGCCCACCTGGAGAACAAAGAGAAAGCAATTCAAGTGTTGGTAATTAGGATCCCACCTGGAGAACAAAGGGAAAACAATTCAAGTGTTGGTAATCAGGAGCCCACCTGGAGAACAAAAAGCAATTCAAGTGTTGGTAATCAGGAGCCTACCTGGAGAACAAAGGAAAAAGCAATTCAAGTATTGGTAATCAGGAATCCACCTGGAGAACAAAGGGAAATCAATTCAAGTGTTGGTAATCAGGACCCCACCTGGATAACAAAGGGAAAATCAATTCAAGTGTTGGTAATCAGGAGCCCACCTGGAGAACAAAGGGAAGCAGTTCAAGTTTTGAGGAAAAACCGTGTAAATGTTGGTAATCAGGAGCTCACCTGGAGAACAAAGGGAAAGTAGCAATGTTTAAATCAAGACGGTGCAAGTTCGGCAATCAGGCGCCCACCTAGAAAACAAAGGAAAAACAAGTCAAGTGTCGGAGGAAGGAAAGGAAGATAATTCAAATGTTGGTAATCAGGCGCCCACATGGAAGAACAAAGGGAAAGCAGCAATGTTCAAAGGAAGACGGTTCGAGTTTACTAATCAGGCGCCCACCTGGAGAACAAAGGAAAAGCACCTCAGAATATAATTCAAGTCAGCGACAAAGGAATTTCACCTGGAGAGTACAAGTCAACAGAGCAGCAGAAACTGCAAGATCAAGTTTGAAGATATAGATATGATTCTTGTAATTCATAGATCATAGTTTAGTCTAGCTTCTTTTATTTTGGCTTGGTGTAATAAGGGGTTCAGCAAGCAGTAGCAGCAGCAGCGACAGTGAAATCACACCTTCCTGGTAATCACAGCTACCGAAACTTCCCAACCTACACTTGTTAGAACATATTTTAATGATGCAAATTAATATGCATGTGCAGGAGTTCAAAGAAGCAAAAAGGAACTATTGGAATTGCCATGTCGAACAAGGAAGGATATTATTCTCACAGGAAGCTACCCCAAATACTCACGATGCACAAGGAAAGAATCAACTCTACATCAGCAAAACAGGATTAACTCCATGATTCTGGGAAATCAAATCTGTCGTAATGGAATAAAGATTCAACACAATCTGTAATTAACGAGTCCGATCAAATCACTGAATACAAATTAAAGCTAGAGTATCCAGACAACAGTCAAGATCGAAAGGTCCAAAAATCAAGGAATAATTATGTCAAACCCGTCATTTGCCAAAGGAAAAGATCTGAAGGGAAGCAACGACTAGTACTTTATTCTTGGAAAGAATCAACTCTTTCCAAGGATCAAAACCCTTGGGTTGACAAGCCTTCACCATTCATCCGTGTATAAATTCATAGTGCAACTCCATCCTTAGTATACTTTGATCGAACCAAAATAACTCTCTTCAATTTACTACAAACAAGCATAGTAGCCTATATAGATATGTTGTGTAACAAGTCAAGGATAGAAAGAGAGCATACAACTGGTGAGACATTGTATCAAACGAGTGCTAGAAAATTGAGTGACAAATATCAAATTTGTACTCGAAAAAAACTCATTTACTTGAAGAGAAATCCCTTGCAACCCAATGGGATTGAATTAGGATTCACATTGAATCCGAACCAGTATAAAATTCTTGGTGTCTTTAATTTCTGCATTTACNGAAAATCCGCATGGAAATCTTCACCAAAGCATACGATGTCAAAGTATGGAGAGTTATCAAGAAAGGAAACTACCCATTGCCTGCCAACACTCCACCACTCGCTGACCCTGATGATATAGACTCATACTCAAAGGAGAAATTGGAAGCTGTACAGATAAACCACAAGGCAAGGAATCTGCTTCACAATGCAATAAGTGGTGAAGAATATGAAAAGATTTCTAGTTGTGATACTGCCAAAGAAATGTGGGACAAACTCGAAGTTACCTATGAAGATACCAGCAAGTAAAGGAAACCCACATAAATATGCTAGTTCACGACTATGAACTATTCTAAATGAAGGAAGGAGAATCCATCGAAGAAATGTTTGCCCGGTTCAGTAAAATAATCAGTGACTTAAAAGCTTTTGGAAAACCATACACCAGTGGCGATCAAGTAAGGAAAATTCTCAGAAGTCTACCAACCACCTGGCAGACTAAAGTTGTCACTTTGGAATCTCAAGATCTTAACAAGTTATCATATGATGAACTACGATGAGAGCTAATTGCTTTCGAAAGAACGCATCTGAAGAAGACAAATCAAGAGGAGAAGAAGAAAACTGTTGTATTCAAAGCTACTACTGAATCTGCTGAGAATGAAATTGATGATCCTGAAGTTCTACAAAAGGAAATCGCTATGATGTCTATAAACATAGATGGATTAATGAGAAGATATAGAAATACAAATAAAGGAAGATTTCCACCAAGAAGATCTAGACAATACAATGAACAAGACAAGAACAATGGAAAATGCTATGAATGTGGAAAGTTTGGGCATATCCAAGCGGAGTGTCCAGAACTGAAAAGAAAGATCTCCAGAGGATTCAACAAGAACAGATCATTTGGAAGCTGGAGTGATGAGGATGACTCAGACCATGAAGAGATAGCAAATCTCTGCTTCATGACAATTCTAGAAAACGAGATCAACAAAACTTTAGGATGCTGGACAGAAGAAGACGATTCAGACAATAAAAACTGTTTTATGGCAAAAGGAGAAACTAGCGAGATAAGATCTTATGATTGTAAAAGATGCAATGAATTGCAAGACATACTTGACTCCACCCTAAAAGAGTCTCAAAAGATGATGAATGAACTTAAGAGACTCACCAGGGAAGTCAAAGACTGGAAACTCAAACATGAAGTATGTGAAATTGAAAAAGACGTACTTCAAGAAGAGTTTGAGGAATTACAAATGCAGTTTAACAACTTGCGCAAATCCACCAGTCACAGCTCTGTTAGGTCAAACCAGATGACTTACAAGTCGACTGGAAAAGAACAAATTAGAACTAGATCGACTAGTCGGTCGAACCAGTCGACTTACAAGTCAATTGGAAAGGAATTAGCAAATCCTATGATTGCTAATTCCTACTCTTATGAAAGACCTGAAAACATGTCTGGGGTTAAATGTCATTATTATAACAGAAGTGGGCATAAATATTCTGGTTATCACTTTCGTAAATTTCATATGTCCGGATGGGTTTGGAAACCTAAGAACTCCGAATCCAGTAACACTAACTCACCAGGACCCAAGCAAGCTTGGGTACCTAAAAGAAAGTAATAATTCTGTATTGCAGGAACACCCCCAGAGTAAAGCGCAAAGGAAACTGGTATCTAGATAGTGTGTGTTCCAGTCACATGACAGGTGACAAAAGCCTGTTTAAGGAAGTTATAAAGATTGGCGGAGGGAGCGTCAAATTTGGAGATGATTCAAGAGGCAAAATAGTTGGCACTAGAACTATTCCTTTCAACAACAGTTGTGACATTACTGAAGTATATTTGGTTGATGGATTAAACTATAATCTCCTCAGCATAAGTCAACTCTATGACTCGGGATATGAGGTAAAATTTAAGAACACTCGATGTGCCACCGAAGACGAATCAGGTAAAATAATTCTTCCAGGAAAAAGGTACGAAAATGTTTATATACTTGATGGTTTTGAAAATATAGATGGTCATATCTGCCTAACCTCTATGTCTGATGATCCCTGGTTATGGCACAGAAGACTAGGTCATGCTAGCATGCATCTAATTGAAAAATTATCCAAACAAGATCTAGTCATTGGGTTACCTAAATTGAATTTTTCTAGGACTCACATTTGTGATGCATGTCAGATGGGTAAGCAAACTAGAAACTCTTTCAAAAAT